AGCAAACATAGCTTTCAGTTAGCGTTTCCAAAGGGTTGCCAAAGACTGTGATAAAGGAAATAAAATGTCATCCAAGTAGAGTCAGGCTGGAGAAGTAATTACAATTTTAAAAGGGAGGGTCTGGGCCACCTGCACAGGCTGTAGGTCTGCCTGCTTGACCTCAGGTGAGATCTCCCACTTCTAACATGGCTGTGGTTTTTAGCCAAACCCAAAGGCAGAAGCACAGCAACAGTTAGGAATCATTAGTAAAGAACTGTAGCTGTTTAACAAAAGAAAAATACACAGTACACTTTGTGCAGCTAAGAGGAAAAAAAAAAGTTCATTTGATAAAACAAATGCAGACATTCTCTGTCGCATACACCTTTCCAAAGCTGAAACCTCAGGATATTGCAACCACTCAGGCGAAACCCAACTGTTAGAAGAGTTTTGACTGTTAAGAAACTGCTCGACTTGATCTTCAGCGAGAACTTGTCTGGGCATTTCCCTGGATTTCCTGAAATACCAGAAACAATACTGTAATAACAAGTTTCCTTTGAGGGGCGAAAAAGAAACCTGGACACACCCTTTATTCAAGCAAGGCATCTATTACAATACATAATAAGGCAAGACTGGTTCGATGAATCCCCTCAAGTCATAATGACAGGTAGGAGGCATCCGAAGGCACTTGGTTCTCCTGCACACCCGCACACACACACCTGTGCGCACACACGTGTGCACACACTCTCTCAGCAGCCATCAGACACTCACACATCAGTAAATGCTCAATTTGTCTAACAACCCTTAGTGACTGGGTGCGGGGAGGAGAAAGCGTTTTCAGTAATTTCTCTATTTCACACTAGCTACCGGCTGTAAATTATGCAAGAACAAGATAACTGCAGTAACTCTCCAAATTATTACTAGTCACTCAGCAGATCTGACATCCACCCCAGAGGAACACGTCAACCTCCTACTGACTACAAGTGAATGGAGAAGTAGGTAGGCACTTATGTCTTCTTTATTCTATCTCTCCAGTCAAGACTGATGATCATCTCACAAAATTAAGGGAAAAAAATACTAAGCCATTAGTTGGGGAAAGAGAGGGAAAAAAGCAAGAAAAAAGGGTCAAAAGAGGCACAGAAATCTAACAAAGACCTGAAAAGAAGCTACCTAAAAGCAGTTCCTGTCTAACTTCTAAAACATTTGTTACACCTTCACAAGTAGTGCAAGTTTTGTTCTTGAGAACTACCAGGCCCACATGGTTAATCTTGTTTTCACATATCCCTTTAACTAATTAAAAAATCAGAAGATCTTATTCAGAGCTCAGTATTTTTAATATGCTCAGATAATGCAATTAACTCAAGAAGAAAAGCATTTCAGTAAAGGTTGCACCTTGTCTATACTGTAAGATCATACTTCATACTAATTTTTATTCTAGATTCCTTTTGTGGGACAAAACCCCCCCATATTTTCATCCAGTGCAAAACTATGCCTTTGAAATAGAACATGATCATCTATTTATTTCTCCTAGAGATAACACATGCAAAGCTGTGCTAATATTTAAAGGTTTGTCAGACAAAGGTGACTCAGTTTCACCAAAACTGGTGCTAGACTACCTTTGCTGACTTATGATTAATATTTTCACATCTAAGTCTGGATACAAAGGTAACAGTTTGAAAGAAAAGGCTTGCTACAGGTTCTTTCCTCCAGCGAACACTGACGAAAAAAGTCTGCAGAGTAATAATCTGGAGATACAGTGTTCAGGCACTTTATGTCTCCAGTTTTAGAGCTTCATTAAAATCATTTAGTTATGATCTTTTGATTGCAATCTTGGAGAAATAGAAATGCAATGGCTGCCTTCACAGGTCCATCAAAGCTGAGAAGTATCAAATGTGAGAAGAACTGTACTGTCACGTTTGTGTCCCAGTTAAGCGGGAAGGCTTCAGTAGATCGGCATACACAACACCACTACGTGCTTTCTAGGAAGGAATTAGATTCATAGGACTCTTCTGTCAGTCTACAAAATTTGAGGAATGCCCTGAACTTATATAAAACTTGCATTTAAGTGGTCTAATCTGTAGTCACTGACTTACAAAAGTGAAGAAATCAATATTATGGCTAACGTAAATCAATTAATCCATTCATTTGTATATAACAGCTTCCCCTTACTGCATGGACCATAAATACCCCAAACATGAATTGAGTTACTCCTTGCTATATTGCATGAATCCTAGCAGAAGGTTGTAACAATGAATGAATCACAGTTAAATGTAAAGACAACACGTGGGAGAAATCTGAAAGGAAAACAGTACTTTGTCTTCTGAAGACTTGTTTACACTGATTTTATGTTTACGCACATAATCTAGTGTTTTGCCTCTGACCAATTTTCTAAGCTTCGCATATACTCCTCAACAGAAGTTTGTACGCATACCGACATTCACTCTGTTGTATTCTGTAGAGTTGAAGAGATCAGCATGGTATTTAAAATATATTTCTCTTTGGACCTTATTGTCTTATAATTGCAAACCTCTTAAAGAGCAAAGGCTGCTCGACTAATTTGAAACATGAGTAATATTCATACTGTCAACTTTCATACTTAGCTTTTTAGGTTTTCATTTTTAAACCCAGATCAAATACAGAAAACATGCAAAGGTTAGTTTTTAATTGCTCAGGTGTTTTCAATGCCTGCAAAATCTTTTCAACTCTCCATCATTCTGTGAAAGAATTTCAGTGGCAAAGGTCAGTATCTTCTCGGCCAAAGGGAAGATGTTGACCTGCCTGTAGATGTTCATCAAGAGGGGAGGGTTGCGAAGGGGAGATCTGGGCTCAGAAATAGCTACTTAAAAAGACGCTTAACAGACTGAATGGAGTTAGCAACGCTTACTCACAAAGCTTCTTTTGCTTACATAAATGCGTATTAAACCCCAGAACTATAGCAAAACTATTGAACGGCAATGGCTGCCTTCACAGGTCCATCAAAGCTGAGAAGTATCAAAGGTGAGAAGAATGGTATTGTCACGTTTGTGTCCCAGCTGAGCAGAGAGGCTCCACTGACTCAGAGAAGCTCTAATCTCATCTGTGAGTTCCTGTGTCTTTTAAAACACAAGCGATACCGAGAATTTATGCATGTAGCACTATTTCCACACTGTGGTTCTGCACAGATTTACCTGACCGTAGAGCAGAGACTCTGTAGGTATGCTAGTGGGAAAGTCTACAGTGAGCTGCAGACCACAAAAACCATTACAGATGGTATGTCTGCCTAAGCTATAAAACTTGTTTAATCTGATATGAGCAAAATCTGCTAATTGTGCAGTTCGTTACTGAGAATGCAAATTATAGTCCACATGCATCAGACATTACCAATCAGGTTTGAAAGTGGGTGTGGGAATACTTTAAAGAAATTCATTATATGGATTTGATTGCATAATACACAGGTATTCTGTGTTTATAGGCTGAATAACTGCAGGACTGAACTATGTTAAGATGTCTTCATGCTGACATGTAAGGAGCCAGCATTCCAATCAACATCCAAGCTTCATTTTTCGCTTCAGAAAACAATGTATTGATTTATCCTTATTTCCTAGAAAAGCCTTTGATTAGAAATGTCAAGATAGCATCAATAAAAATTATTCAAAGATATGACAATGCAATACTAAACACCTATCTCTTACTGCCAAGTACAGACAGGCTGCTTCAGGTAACCACAACTCATTACTTACAGTTCTGCAAGGAAGTAAACAGCATAAAAAACCCCAGCACACACGAACAGAGATGTGCCTTGTGCCTCAAATCAAGCTCTGTGCAAGGCTTAGATATCAACATGTCACTGCCCACTCTTAGTGAAGGCTGTTTCAGAATGTAATACCTCCCCCGTGAGAACAATAATTACCTTTACCTTCGTTTGTGAGCAAGGCTTTAATACCGTGCTTGATCTTGTCTTACCAGATGAGTGATAGGCCTATCATGCTCATGAATGAAAGGCAATCATCCCTCCTTACTACTGAGATATCTTATGAGTCCTCATCTTAGGAGAGCCACACGCTTTACCGAGCCAAGCAATGAGCTGGGTGAGGTGGAGAACCTGCAGAGGCTCTGTGTAGCTCACCTCTTTATCGTCTTTTCCCGCTGAATCCATTCTGCTTGTTAAGTCCAGTACGGCACTTTCAGCCTCAGGTGACTGAAGGGCTACAGCCCGCTCCCAGCAGGCAAAATTTTATGAACTGAGTTTATTATTCCTGCATTGTGGAACTCCTTGCAGCTCTGAATTTAAACTGGAGTTCTGAAAAAGGGTGCACTGACTTGAAAATCAGTTTGACTCTTCTAGAAAGAGCAGATCAAAAGTTTCAGCGACAACTGGTTGGGAAAACCAATTTGAGGAAGGCCTCAGGTTCTCCCTGGGGAGGATCCTGTTGTCGTTACGATTGTTTTAAGTGCACAGCTATAGCAGATTACTCACTTATCTTCCTGTGCAAATCTCTTGCAGGAGCGCAGACCGGCTGCATGCATTTAATATCTGCAAGTATTGAAGCCTGTACATTAGCAAAGGTTATCAGTGACTAACAGCTAGCGATAATAAAGGTTATCTCCTCTCCGAGCCCTGAACTGCCTAGGAAAGAGAGACATGCAGGATCACCGACTCCAGCTTCCCATCTTGCCTCTGTCCAGTTCGTGAGCTCTTCCCTACCCGAGAAGCGTACGGGGCTGATACGGATCCACGCGCTTGCTGTACCAAAGCCGTGATAGTAAAGCTCGGCAGGGCTGAGGGCAGAGCCCTCGGGGTGGATGTGCCAGCGCCGGGCACAAGCCCCAGTGGCCCCGGTGGTCCCTCGGCAGCGCGGCACGGCAGCACCCCCCGCCTCGGCGGAACAGCACACGGGGTGAGGGGCGACAGTCTCGCCTGCCCGCAACGACACGCTCGGACGCGGAAAGGACGAAGGGCCGACGTTTCTTGCATTTTGCTGTGCCGGCTTTTACTCACACTTTTACCAGTTCGTGCATCGACCACGGCCTTGTCTTTTACGTACCGTGCAACGCTGAGGAGCTCTGGATGGTAAGGTAGCTGGATTCGCATTTCTGTGATTCGATATCCAGGTCTCCAATCTTTAAGATCAGGCGTTTTCCCGGAGGCACTTGGATTTTCTTCTCACAAAGAGTGTAGTTTGGGTATGTCCCAGGATAGTTCTTGGATGCCAGGGTCCCGCTGTCTTGATACATCACCGTGTGCCCACATCCATCCCCTGCAGCAGGAGAAGAAACAAGGAAGAGAAACAGAATGTATTCCTCACTAAAAAACGTGTAGGAAAATACTGACCACATAACCATGTCTCACTTGCGCTTCCACCTTTATAAAAAAGTATTTTGTAATACTCCACCTCAGTTATGCTGTTGTTGGAACATAGGTAACTAAAATAAATACAGTCATATTTCTCTTGTAAAGCAATAGAAAGGAGGGTTGGAAAGACTCATGAACTAAGTTGTATCTGACAGTCCTGTACGGAGCCTCTCCGGCTTTCTGCTTTACAGCCAAACCCTACCGAAACCCTGAAGATGCAATTCCACATGTACTAGATAGGATCCTTCCTTAAATAGTTTTCTCCCGATCATCATTCCACATTTTATTTCCATAGAAACAGCCATCAGAGAGAGGGTAACTGAACCATACGTGAAAGCACAGACATGATTTAACTACATACTATCGCAGACCTGACTCATCTTACTTCCCTGTTGGTTTTCTTGTGCCGCTCGCAGAATACAAAAAGCACAGGGGATAAGGCAAAGACTCAAGAGGGGCTTCAGAAGCGGGATGCGCATCGTTCGCGGTACGCAGGCTACTTCACGGTAGCACGGCCAGAGATGTGAGCGCTGCTGCCTCCTTGCTCGAGGGGTGAGGGTAGGCGCCCCCGAAGCGCGATTTCGTGGCACTGGGTAGGAGCGCAGCTCAGCTCCGGAGCCTTTCCTTGGTGGAGAGACTTCTGAGGAGCAGCTGCAGCAGAAGAGATGACAACAGGAAAAGGCGCATGGAAATACACGGGGGGATGTGGGGACTGACATGGAAAACAGGAAGCATCCACGGAGGGGAAGGAAGCAGGTATCAGATAAGAGACCTTGACTACTAAAGGAAGCAATTTTTACTGAACTATTTAAAAGTGTCCTAGTAACTTAAAATTTATATATTAAAGCTTAAGCCATTTCATTCTGCTGAATCTTCCAAATAATGGAAACCATTCCAAGAGTGGAACCAGTGCCACATGTATGTGCATATAACAGGCAGTCCTCACTTTTTGGTCAGTTAGGGCACAGGCACTCTTTACATTGGAGTCTTGTGTACTGTTATCCGTTACCACTGCAAAATCGAAGCTAGTCCTAGAAGTGTTAATAAAATAAAGAATCCTGCAGAGCTGGGAATTCACAATGTTCACTTTAACTACCCCAAATTTTACTTTTGGGGATGTTTTGGTTAAACTGTTTTGGTCTGTGCATTTTAATTACTATCCGAATTTCCTTCCACAATCACTAGGAGAAACACACTTAAGGTTTGATAAGATTATTTAAAAATGAACAACTAGAAATGAAGTGTTGATAAAGAAACGTGCCATACCGGAGATTGGGGGGAAAGTGGCATGCTGTGCAAAGATAAGCTCCAAGCTATCAAACTTTTGACTTGTTACTATATAATTACCCTGCCATTTCATCCAACTCACTCAACCACTTTTTCACAAGCAACAGCATTTATTTTGAAGCTTTATCATTATTACTAGCTTTGTTGCCTGCTATTTAATTTTGTCGCAAGTTCATGCTTGGAATAGAGGTGAATAGGAGACATAGATCCAAAATCATATCACCGTAAAACATATTAAATATGTTTTTTCAGATCTCCTTGTTCACATGCTTTAAAAAACATCTGTTGTTCAAGTTTTCTATCCAAGCACTATTGATTTCAAAATGCGTAGGAAAATACTCAAGATGAAAGGCAAACTGGCCTCTTGGGCAAATTGTCTATTAATGGAAACTTTCTGCAGCAGGAATAAAAAAACAAGGAGTAATACAGTACGTGAGCTATCAACTTTCTGAAACCAGAGAGGGGTCTGCAGAGGTCCAGGCAGTGTAAACCCAGATCACTTCCAGCAGGACACAGGACAGCCTTGCTGCCTGTGTAGCTGACTGCTGCGTAATGAAAAAGAACTGCCTGTGGCCTTTAATTTAAACTACATGTTTTTAACTGTAAGCATTTGCTTTAGCTGGGCTGATGAAAATAAAGTAACTACAATCTGGAGCTTGGTTTGCAACTTATCCTTATTGGGAAAGAAAAGGGAAAACAAAGGGGAAAGTTACATAACTACAACAAAATGTCATGGGGATGGACTCCTTAAAATGAAAAGTCTAGTGTTCACATAGCCTTCACCTCGCTGGGCTATGTTCTGGCCTGCGTCACCTCGGTGCAATGCCAAGGATCCTTTGTGGTACAAAACTCTCCTCAAAAAAACCAAAAGACATTGCTATCATGGTAAGACCCTGACAACTGTCCAGGTCAGAGAGTATTGTATTTCTGCAGAAAGTGTACAGGCAAAACTGTGCACCAGAGACGTCAGCCTGCCATCCTCCTCTGTCAAGGTTATACAAGGTCTTGTTCCCAGGGAAACTCCTTTTTTTAAAATCTGCCTTTGAGTCAGCGTTGAAACATATTAACACCAGAACATCTTTTGAGCTAAGAAAGCATAAATGCTATTTTCCCACTTTTCACTGGTGGAGCATGGTCATTCAAGCACTCCTAATAAGAGGCAAGCACAGCATCATCCTGGACCTGCAACGTCCCTTGCTGCCTCTGTTCTGCCTGCCTGCCTGCCTCAGAGGAAAAGGTCATGACAAAAGCTTGTTTGCTGCAAGAACCAAAGCTATGTCCAAAAAGTCAGACCAAGTCCTAGTAACTATTGGTTCTTACAGAGAAGCCTGACTGGAGCTCTAAATTTTGAATTTCTCAGCAAGATTAACAGAGCAAAGAAAAATCTTACACTGAGATTTGCTGGGAAATGCATCCTAGGGAAGGAATCTGAATGTATAGAGGGAAGGTAGAATAAAACTCAGGATCTGATAGTTCATTCAAAGAGAGATTTCATGACTAAATGTAGTAAAACACTTGTAACCCGACTATATACCAAGGGCTCAGAAATGGAGGCAAATTGCAAGGAATTCAGAACATATCCCTGTTCACATTTTCAAATGAAAAATGGGAACAATACTACCATCAGTTCTGTTCTTATCATTATTTTCCATGTAAAATTTTGATTTTCAGTAGAAATGTATTGGCCAAACCTCAAATACATTGGAGTTTAAAACACAACTGGTTGTCCTTATGAAAACTATGGTTTAAATACCTGACGTTGCACTCTTTTCTATAGGCACAGCTCTTCTGGCTGGAAATATGTGTATTCAACCGGTCAGTTCGACACAGGATTTCTTGCTAACACTAAATTTTCACTTAGCGTTACTTCTGAGAACTGTTTTCTATCTTCCCATTTGGCAAGAAGCCGGCAGCCTTGCCTCCGACATCCAGGTTTCATCACTTCTCACTGGACGAGAGCAAAGCAAAATATTTAAGCACAAGGTATTCAGCAGCCAGAAAGTCTAAACATGCTTAGATTTAATAATCTCTCTCCTCAGCACCAGGAGTTACTAAAAGCACATCAAACATGCTTTGTAAACCGAGTTCCCATGGGCATTTGAATCAAGATCAAGATCGTGGTCTCTGGATGGCGGGCGCCCGCCTGTTGGCTTATGCGCAGGTTGTACCAAAGATCACACAGCGTTGGAATTAAGGCTGTTTACCACAGATAAAAATAGTCTCCTACGGCAGACAATGGAAAAAACTCCCCAAGAGGCGAGAACCACGTCTGCCGCAGCAGCGGGCACACGGCTTGCACCTTGCCCTCTCTCGCCAAGAGCAGTGCTGGCACGTAAAACCAAACCCGGGACCCTGCCAGAAGACATCGGTACGTGTCCCTGCGGAGAGGGCGAGAGGAGGTGCCAGGTAGCACCATTTCCCATCCTCAGACACATGCACGATGGATGTGCGTGGGAAAAGGTGAAGGAGCATCTCCAAGCAGCTGCATCTGGGCTGGGTCTGACCGCGGCTGCTGGCTCCTGGGCAGGAGGGCTTCCTCCAGGATCTAACCTGTCCAGGAAGGATGTAGGTGATGAAACCGATGCCCACGAACAAGCTCCAGCCCCACACCGTGAGCTGCCCTGGACACAGCCCCTGACAGATACTATGGCTTTAGCAAAACGGTGATGGTCCCAGAAGCAGCAGAGTTAGAGATCTCCAAAAACGATGCTGGTTCTTTCAGGTACCCTCCTGCCACCCAAAATCACCTGGCTAGGCTGACTCCCTCCTCCCCTCTCTTCCCAAGCCCAGTGTACGAGCTGAGTCCTGGCCTCTCTCCCCTCTGCTCCCTGGGCTTTTCCACCCCTTGCTCACATTCCCAAGTGGATGTGCACTTCATCCAAGCACTCGGCACATCGCCCTCTGAGTTAGGGAAGAGGCTACAGTTTTTTCAAATAACTGCTATAAGAAATTTCCATGTGCTGCACCTTTCAGAAACATGTTTATACTACAAAACGGTTACATAGCATGATATCAAAGTGCATTTTCAAACGCATTGCTACAATATCCTGGCAGCAAACAGCTGCCTTTTTGATCCTTCTGATTCACCCTCACTAAGCAATTAATAATGGACTTGGACTTACTCCAGTGCTAAATACGTGTTATACCTAGGCACGCTCATGCACACAGCCTCTTCCACCCCGCTGCACGAGCCCCGTCAGGCACCGGCATCTCTCTCCCGGCCTCTCCGGCTACAGACTCCCGCTATCTGCTGCCCCTCGGCTGCCAATCTCTTCCCACCGGGACAAAGACCGCCAAAACAACTTTATTTCCCTCTCTGCCTCATCTCTCCCAGTTTGACATCCTTTTGCATGCCTGTCTTCATGGGGGTGACTGGGACAAGGGGTGCTCCCCCCCATCCTGCGTGGAGGCCAGGGTGCAGAGCTGGCGGGGGGCTGCCGGCCTGTCCGCCTTCCTTCCCACTCCTTCCCTCAAGAGGTGAGAGCAGAAAACTGATTTTGTGTACTTAAAGCTCAGATTCAGCCAAAAATCAGCATTTTCTGAAGAGCCACAGCTGCAAATGGACACAGCCAAAGCAAAGCAAACGCCTCCGAGTCAAGGGTACGGCTTTGCGAGCTCTGACGAGAAGCCCCATGAGGAGAAATGAGATTCATCTCATCTTCCACGTTGCTTTCCCTGAAGTAATAACTCCAGCTTATTAAAAGATACAATAATAACTGAGTCAAGAAGGAGTTCTGTGCCCGTGTTTGAAAGAGGATTCAAGTTATGCATAAGAACAGATAAGTATCAAAAAAAGAAAACAACTCTTTCCAGTTAAACCTGTGTCCTCCCTGCTCATATGGGATAGAAGATCAGGGAAAAAGCAAGTTTTTTTGCCAGACGCCATCCAAATGTACTGGTGTGGTCGAAAAAAACATTAGGTTTACATACAGCTATTCTGACCTCCATCATGGGTTTGTACCTTTGCTGCTTTGTGAGGTGATGGAGTAAAATCCAGAGTTGAGCTCTTCATCTCTAACCTCTCCGCTGCCAAACCTGGGTCAAGAGCATCAGCTCTTTACTGCGCCATTTTAACAGAAGAGAAAGACCACCACGCGAGCAGGACCTAAACCCCTCGCTTCTCCAGGGAGTGATGGAAGGTGTCAGACCTCTGTGCTTTTCCTGGCAGTGGGCTCAGGCAGGTAACAAAAACGAAGGGCAACACCACGGGCCTGAGGCATCACTGGGCAGGCAAATACCCCCAGTCCTCCTCCCCAGCGGTGCGAGGACCCAGAGCCGCAGGCATCGTGGGGGGTGGTGGGGTGAACCACGCATTTGGGGATTTCACAAACCACCAATTTCAGGGCAGATGCCATTTACACCAG